CCGTATAAGTAATAAACTAATATTTTGTAAAAAAGTTGTTTAATGTAATATTACAATAATATGAAATTATTAATTTAAAATTTAATTTGTTATTTGTATTTTTTAATAATATTCTTACGGATATCTGCTGTTTTGACATTTTTCACCATATACATAATTTCGAAGTTCCGCACAAAATGTGCATAAAATAGAAACTTGCGGATAGAAATCGGCGGAACGAACGTAAAACAGGTTAAACCAATCACGAACGTTCCGCCAATTCCGCATTGCGCATACGTTCCGTATCATGGGACCATAAGACGTAACATGAATTTCAATCAGTTGAAATTTTTACGTACGGAGAATTGATATATATACATGAGTGATTGCTACTAAAAAGTTGTGGCACATCTCTATTCTACTCCATTTATGTTCATTGAATTGAGATGTGTATACATATATCTGATTATGTATGATTTAATATTTAATAATATTAAAGTATATTTATATGTGATATATACAGGGTGTCCCATTTTAAGTGTCCACCCCAAATATCTCTCTCATTTTTGATTTTAGAGAAAAATGGTTCAGACATGTTTTGTATGGTTTCGAGGGGGCCATAAGATGGTATCATTGATTTAACGAGTCATTTGAAAGTCACGTGAAGGTTATCTCAATTTTTTTAAATGGCACCCCTTATTTTTTATTACATATTCTTGTAGCTGACCTCGAGAGCTTTCCAAAACACTATAATCAAATGTTTTTTCGTGAAGTACTTTTCGAGTTATAAAGCTCCAAATTTACAAAATTTTGATAAAAATACAAAAATTTTCGTAAAACATTCACTTTTCGATAGTCTTATCTTACATGATCCAGTCAAGGCAAGATCCGAGGATGATCCAGCCAGTCAAGGCAAGATCCGAGCATGATCCAGTCAGTCAAGGTAAGATCCGAGCATGATTCAGCCAGTCAAGGCAAGATCCGAGCATGATCCAGCCAGTCAAGGCAAGATCCGAACATGATCCAGTCAGTCAAGGCAAGATCTTCTTATCTAGAATTACTTTAAGTGTTCAAAAACTTGGCCATTTACTTGTATGCATAGCTCTAGTCTATGGTGAAAGTCGTCCCTAATCTTTTCAAGAACATCTACATTAATATTTCTGTAAGCCTGTCTGATTCGGTTTTTCACATTTTCAACGGTTTTAGGCTTTTGCGAATAAACTATATCTCTAATGTAGCTCCAGAAATAAAAATCTAGGGGCGTCAAGTCGGGTGATCTTGAGGGCCATTCTTGAACTCGGCTGCCCATACCAATCTATTCGGGAATATATTGTTTAAATATTGTGTAATGGCTCGAGATCTATGAGCCGGTGCTCCATCTTGTTAAAACCACATTCGTCTGAGTAAATCATTGTCGACATGTCTCAAGAGGTTGGGCAGGTCATCATGAAGAAATCTTAGATAGATTGCCGCATTGAGATTTTCTTAAAAAAAATATGGACCAACAATAACATCTCCCAGGATGTCTGTCCAAATGTTAATGGACCACTGCCGTTGGAACTCTTGGCTTCTCTGCCAATGTGGATTAGTATCTGAATAATAATGGCAGTTATGTCTATTAACGCTTCCTCTATTACAAAACGTGGCTTCATCAGAAAAAAGCGTATCAGCAATGAACCGGGGATTTTGTTGGATTTGATCTCGAGCCCAGTTATAAAAACATACACGGCGTTGGTAGTCTCTCTCTTCCAATTGCTGAGTTAGATGAATGTGATATGGGTGAAACTTGTTGAGCTTGAGCACACGATTGGCTATTGATTTACCGTGTTGTCTCTCAATTTGTCTCGTAGAGATTTGAGGATTCAAAGCAACGGCACCTATAACAGTCAATAATGTGACTTCATCAGAGCTCGATTTTCGCCAGTTTCTTCTAACAAAACCCTGTTCAGCTCTGTTGCAGAGTCTTTTTATTACTTTCCTATCAGGATGACGTCTGTCTGGAAATCTTTCAGCATAGAAAGCCTTTCTGCTGTCGAGTAATTATTCCTGGCCTCACCCAAAATGCGAATCATGTCCACAATTTCATTTGGTGGATAAGACATAATTACAGACATAATTACAGACATAATTATAAAGAAAAAATGCGCCAAAATATCAAAAATTTGTCTTATCAAAAAAAGTCAATGGATAATAATATGCGTCTGTCTGAGACTTTGCCAAAATACCGAAAGTTGCCCAAGTAAGAAATTGGAAACAAGCCTCTTGATATTTGTTTCATTAAAAGAATTGACAATTGCACTTTCACAATTGTTACAGTTCATTGATCATCAAACAACAGGAAAACAGGATCTCGCCTTGACTGGATCACGCTTAGATTTTTTTTTAATTCATCGCACATTATGAAATAAAAAATAAGCAGAAACAAAGAATTAAAGAAGAGTGAATAAAAGAAGATAAAGTCAAAAGGATAAAGATATATAACAATTTTAAATAATAACTCACAATCGGGATCGTGATAGTCTCTTGAACACCAAGGTTTCACAAGGCACGTATATAAACAAATGCCGAGTGTGCCTCATTCTCAGTACACGAAAGAACGGCGATGAACGAATTTGAACTAAACGTCAACATAATGACTCGTAAGTAAATCATTATATATTTGTACAAAAACATTTTGTATTTCTGTAGATTTTTCTTGTGTAGAAATTTTGGTGTTAAATTTTTAACATACTTTTATGTTAATGTAACATATTGTCGTTGTGTTATTTTGACTTTTCTACATTGAGTTAATATTTACCGTTTTTAAGAGTTAAAAACAACACAATAACGTTCAAATGTTACATTTTAATGTTAATTTTTTACATATTACTTGTTATTTATTTACATATTTGCCTTCTGTTAAATTAACATTAAAATTAGAGTGAATAAATTGGAACATGTGAAATATGTTAAATTTAACACAAAATGTTTCACTGTATAAAAAAATACTAAGAAACTCATCTTTTTAATTTTTCTAAATTTTAGAGGAAATTAATGCAGAAATGGGCGCGCTCGCTCTCCAAGAGCCAGATATGCGACAGTTAATGCAACAAATGTTGCATCAACAACAATTGTTCCACCAGCAGCTGCAATTGTATATACAGCAGCAGCAGCAACAGCAACAACAGCAACAGCAGCAGGAGCAGCAGCAAGAAGAGAAGGAACAACAGGCGCAAAATGGTAAATTATTTTTTTATATTAAATTTTATTTATCTAATTATATATATATATATATATATATATATATATGCATTTTTATAATTTATTTATTATTTATGTTTTAATTTTCAGATAACATAAGAAAAAGAGGAGGCGGACAGTCCCGTAGACGCTGGTATGCCCGGCGAAATAATGGGCACTAGGGACGGATGGGGCGTCGCCAGCACCCAAAATAGAGGAGGCCGAGAAGCTGGCCGAGGACGAGGAGGCGGCCGAGGACGAGGAGGCGACCGAGGCCGAGGAAGGCCAATAATTATAAATAATTATTATTATTAAAAAAAATTATTATAATTAAAAAAAAATTATTAATAAAAAAAAATAAAAAACAATACAATAATTCAGAATATTTTACTTTCCCTTCTTTCTACTTTCTTCCTTCCTTTTTTGTAAAATATAATGAAATAATGGAATGTAGTATAATAGGGCTCCAGGCGAAAGTCCACATAAAAAACCTAACGCGCCATTAGTGATACCTCATGGGTGGTGTGGAAAATCGCACTATTTTTCTTAATTTCATATTTTAAATGTATGAAAAAATTAATTATATTTAATATATTATAAAACGTGTGTGTATATATATGTAACATATATATATATATATATATATATATATATATATATTATAAATATATTATAAATATATTTATACGTTTATGTATATACATATTTATATATATTTGTAACAAAAATAAAAAATAAATTGGTAAATAATACGGCTCTATGTATTTAACAACATGATAATTAAGTAAAGAGCACTAAGAGCCTACAAAACGCGGATGGCAATGCGTAAATTATTTCGAACATTAATTGTTCGCGAAAAAATTTTTAAGACATATACACATATAAGTTATAGATTCTCTTGGTTTGAGACTTCTATAACACCCCCTTTTACCCCCCTGGAGAGATGTAGACATGAAAAATATCAGGGCGAAGTCGCTGAATCGGGAATCGAACCCGAGTCTTTCGCTTGCCGGGCGACTGCTCTTACCACTGAGCTATTCAGCCTCACACTGACACTTCTCCTGTCCGTTTTTATTAATCTGTGGAAATAATGAGAACACGATCATTTCAGCTCGACGTGTAGTTCTAAATAAATTGGTAAATAATACGGCTCTATGTATTTAACAACATGATAATTAAGTAAAGAGCACTAAGAGCCTACAAAACGCGGATGGCAATGCGTAAATTATTTCGAACATTAATTGTTCGCGAAAAAATTTTTAAGACATATACACATATGCCAAGTTATAGATTCTCTTGGTTTGAGACTTCTATAACACCCCCTTTTAGAGATGTAGACAGGAAAAATATCGGGGCAAAGTCGCTGAATCGGGAATCGAATCCGAGTCTTTCGCTTGCCGGGCGACTGCTCTTAAAAGGGGGTGTTATAGAAGTCTCAAACCAAGAGAATCTATAACTTGGCATATGTGTATATGTCTTAAAAATTTTTTCGCGAACAATTAATGTTCGAAATAATTTACGCATTGCCATCCGCGTTTTGTAGGCTCTTAGTGCTCTTTACTTAATTATCATGTTGAAAAATAAAAAACATAAAGAAAAGATGTGAAAGAGAAACATTGAAATATCGAAGAGCGAGGCTCGCTCAGCAGCGTTCCGCGTCGCGCGTCGCCCGTCGTTTTCGTTGCTTGCTTGGTAAGAAGGAGACAGAAAACTGTATTCTGTCCTCTTCTTTTAGCCGAAGCTCGCCGAAGCGCCGAGCTCACACGTACGCTTACGCACACATCTCCGTTACTTTCTCCACTACGCGTGGCATGTTGCTTGCGAAGATAATCTTGCATCCCTGATCGGAAGATCCAGGGAATTACTCTGATGCAGACGCTCGACGCAGTTAGTCGTATCGTCAAAAGTTGTCGTTGTCGTTTTTGGTATCGCTGTCGAGCTCGAGGAGAAGACGGGGTCGAGGATCATCTCCAGCTGCGAGGATACGTATCGGTGAGGTTGCCTATCTTTACTTGTGAGCCACATACGCGATTCGGTCCGACGACCGGCCGTTCTGTCGCCGTCGCCATTTTCGTGTTTTGCTGTCACTCAGGCCTTGTGCGAGCTGTCGATTTTTCGTGGATTTCAAGCGGAGACAAGCGAGGTATCGCGGACAGTCGTAATGGAGGCAGTAAAAGATAAGGTATCGTTCGTCTCTCTCCGGGTTTCGGGGTGTTAAAAACGCGTAGCGACCAGCTGCCGCATATTGATCGCGTGCGTTGTAAATCGCAGGAAACGCGTACGCCGTCCGTGTTGTCGTATTGCTGTCGTTGCCGCGTAAAACATCCCCGCAAACGATCTACGAGCGATTTTCGTATTTAGCAACGTTTGTATAATCGATTATTATTATGTGTGTGTGAGTGCCTAGTGGTATCTTTGCGAGTGTCTTTACGTCGCGGTCGCGCTCATTACGTCTATAAGTAGCGCTTATTTCGTAATAATTATCGTGTGTTGAATGTGTCGCGGTGCCAGATAATCAATCGATAATCAAGTCGAAAAATTCAGCTGTTATTGAAATTTGAACCGGTTGCACTAAGAATAGCGTGAGTAAAGAGAAGTACAGCGCGAGCTGCGTAATCTGCGTCCGACAACGATCGATAATCAATCATTGTAACAGTGCCTGTCGCAAACGAGATCACTCGTCTTCGCAAAATCCGTAATTATTCTCACTCAATTATTAGTTAAGCTGTCGAACCTTTTACTGTCGATTGGAATAGCGAGCTAAGAAATTATGAAGAAAAAGATCGGTAGGACGTCGATTTAAGTGCCGAAATTCCGTTATATTTTGGGAAATATTGTTCGGCCTGGTGAATTCTAGCCATAAAACGGGCTCGGGTAAATAATAGAAATGCCTTAGCGCTCTCTTAGGTTGTCGATTTCGAGCGAACATTCGATTCGATTGAACTATCATTATTACTACCGCTATCGATTTCATCTGTTATATATTTCGTTATCTCATATTTTTGAACTTACTGTGAATATCCGCTCTTACTCTGATTTATTATTTGTTTTATTTTTATATTATTTTCTTATTAATAAATTTGTTATATTTCTTTATTAAGTCCGCGTAATTTGTTTGAGTGTTAGCCTCTCGTGATTGTCGATTTCCGTTTCGTCTGTTGAATGTCGAATTAGCTCGCATAATCAATTGACTTTTTCCAAGACCCTGCTAACAACGACCCCGAAACAGGCTAACGTTTTTCGAGTTCTTTGGCGTTTAGCGAAAATTGATGCATGGAAGACCGCATCTGGCGCCCAACTTCGAGATATTGAGACGGCCTTTGCTTCGCTGCGGCTCGCGCGCGAACACCCTCCATCCCTGTTCCTCCGAGCGCGAGTACACTATATTCGGCCTGTGTTTTTGACGGCGTTTTCGCTTCCCTTCGCACTCTCCTCTCTAACACCTCCAGAAGTGTTGCAAAAATTAATAAATTGAATTAAAGAAACGTCGCAATATATATATGTACATATGCATTATAAAATATATGTTATATATTATATCACAATCTATATTGTTATAGTTACTTGTCAGTATCTACAAATAGAAATGGAACATCAATATGCAAAAACATTTTCAAATAATAATGAAACTAACATTACATTACAAAATGAAAATAACGAGGATATTGATATCATATTAAATTCAGGAGATTCTTTATTAATTGATTTAGTGCGAAGTTATCCTCATCTATATGATAAATTCATCATTATCAAATTTCAAAGATTCAATAATGAAAGAAAATTCATGGAATAAAATTGGAAAAGTAATGATATGTCCACGTAAGTAGAACTTTTTAAATAAAATTAATTTAATTATTTTAATATTTAGTTTTAAATTTTTCAAGTAATCATATCGAAGTTTTGACTAATAATATTTATTATTTTATTGATTAATAATATTTTTAGCTACTGAATGCCAAACTCGATGGGTTAGATTAAGAGAAAGATTCTCAAAAGAAAGAAGAGAAATTGAAGCTGAAAATAAAAGTGAAAGTATCCCATCGGAAAAGTTTTTCACTGTATGAAAATATGAAATTTTTGAATAATTATCAACGAAGAAAGTATGTATTATAAAAAAACTTAAATTATTATAAGTTATAATTTTGATTTAAAAAAAAAATGTTTTTTTTTAACTTTTATTACTTGTAATCTATTATTGATTTTTCTACTATTACAGGACTATTACAAATATTTTACGAAATAAAAGAGAAAATAAGAAAAATGTTCCTTCAAAATCGTCAACTTCGCTTAATTTGGAAATGAATTTCGAAGAAAATTCGTCTCAATCTTCTACATTACATTTGAGTTCCACATTATCAAGCAATCTACCCCAATGTTTTACATTACGACATTTAATGAGTCCCATATCAAGTAATCTACCTCAATCTTCTACATTACAACATTTAATGGATCCTACATCACCAAGCAAGCAGAAAAAATGTTACACACCATTACAGATAAAATCACGTAACATCTAAGAAACGTAAATCAGAATCAGACGATGTAGAAAAGTCACTTTTGTCACTATCCAATATAATTGCAGATAAAATACAAAATTTTGATAAAAATATTAAATCAGATATAAATAAAGATGAAACAAAGAATTCAGAAGATAAATTTTTAGATCCAATAGCTGCAGAAATAAAACAACTTCCGGAAGACGAGCGTAAAAAAAAGAAGAAGGAAATAATTAATATTTTGTGGAATTAAAAAGGTATTTAAGTAAAACTTTACTTATGTTATAAATTACGCATTATATTTTTAAATATAACAAAGTGTATTTCTTTTACAGATGATTTATTTTCTTTTTAATTATAATTTTAATTTAAAAAAACCTGGTCTTATGTACCCAGCAGTTTTTTGGATATGCATACTATATGGGTAGACATTACAAAACAACATTAATACAAATATGATTATTTTTTTATAAGTACAAATTAAGTTTATTTTGTAATGTGATATAATAACAATGAAATGTGATAATTTATGAATACAAATTAAGTTTATTTTCTAATGTGATAATATGATAATGAAATGTGATTATTTATTTTATGATTAAATAAGTTTGTTTTTATTATTCAATATGATATAATGAGATGTAATAATTGTTATATAAAAAAAAGTTAAAACAAAAAATTATAATTATCTTGTAATAATTATGTTATATAAAAATAAAGTTAAAACAAAAAATTATAATTATTTTAAAAATATCAATTAATTTATTTAATAAAAAAAATCTCTTTTATCTCTAATAAAAAGAAATAAGAGAGAGAATAAAGTTTTTAAACATTAATTTTATATTAATATTAAAAACTTGTTCTCTTAAAATAAGTCGCTATTTTGTCCTTTTCTTACATAATTATATTGTCAAGGAACTTCTCCTTCTGGAGTTAGAAAATAATCTGCAAGTTTCTCTCGTACTTGATATGCTTCAATTGTAGCTCGACGAGCATTACATGGCGGAATGTTTTGAATTTGTATATTATCAGCTCTCCAGGCACCGTATGTTATGATTCCATCAATTTCATTATCAACAAAATTTTGAGGACAATAAACTCTATTTGTTACGAATTGTTGTTCTTCAAAATTTTTTTAAAAATTATGTAAACACATTGTACTTAAAATTATTTTATCAATAGTATTAGGTTGCATACATATTGGTTTTTGTAATACTCTCCAACGAGACACCAGATTTCCAAATGCGTTTTCTATAGTTCTACGCGCACATGACAATCTATAATTAAAAATTCTTTTTTTTTTCGTCTAAATTTCTTCCCGGAAAAGGTCTCATAAAATTTGTTGATAATAGAAACGCTTCGTCTCTAATAAAAAAATATTTAGTTAATTCATCACTTCCTGGTAGTCTAAATTTCCCTTTTGGCACATTCAATTTTCCTTTTTTAAAAGATTTTCCAAATTCTGATTTAGAAAATATGGTTGCATCATTTTGACTGCCATACAACCCAACATCAACTAAGGTAAATTTGTAATTGTGATCGCAAGCAGCCATTAATACTACACTAAATGTTTTTTTATAGTTGTAATAAAGACTACCAGATCGTAAAGGAGCTCGAATAATGCAATGTTTTCCATCAACTGAACCAGAAAATGGCGAACATAACTAGCCGTTTTATTCAAGAACACAACATTACGTTGCTGGACCATCCCGCAAATAGCCCGAACTTAAATTCAATCGAGCATATATGGGGTGAGATGGAACGACGATTAAGACGTCGAGAACAACAAAATTTCCGCAAAATTTCAATGACTTAGTGGAAATTTTGAAACAAATTTGGAACGAAATTTCGCAGGAATTAATTCGGAGATGCATAAACATGCGAGAGCGATTACAAGCTGTAATTGAGCAGAGAGGAGGCAATACACAATACTAAACATACACACACACACACACACACACACACACACACACACACACACATACACCAGAGGGGGTTTGGAGTCATTAAATACTGCAGAAGTGACGAACTGCGGGGTCCTTATCTCTGATGTGTAACACACACACACACACACACACACACACACACACACACACACACACACACGCGCGCGCGCGCGCGCGCGCACGCACGCACGCACACGCACACGCACACGCACACACACACACACACACATGATGTGCAAAACCCGACCGGCAACCTCCACGTGGTGCACATTGGGTAACGCTAATGTCGGCGGTCATTTTTTAATAAAATTTAAGGTTGTTTTTAAAGACATGTAACTCGGCCAAAAAAAAACGTAAATAAATTTTTAAAAAAGGAATTTTGTAAAAAAAAAGTTGTTTTTACAGAGATTGATCTAAATTTTTTAAGAAAAAATTTTTTATAGCAACTGCAGAATGTCGAAAATGTGTAATTTTAAGGAAAAACAGTGTTTCTTTCTTACGGCATAAAACTAAAAAGATGAAGAAATTTTTTAAAACTATCGATAGCGCGTTAAAGCTGAAGCTTCATGCTTGAAAATGCTATTCTTAAAAATGTCGTACGATGATTTTTCGCCGAGTAACGACAATTGCTCTGAAAAATACAGGTTTAGCTTCTAAGTCATGTAACTCAGCCAAAAAAAATCGTAGGAAAGTTTTAAGAAAAACATTTTGTAGAAAAAATGTCATGCTTTTTGGAAATTGAGTTGGATTTATCGAGAGAATTTTTCTTATCTAGCTATAGAGCGTTAAAAATGCGTAATTTTAAGGAAAAAAACGATGTGTCCCTTTTTAAGGCATAGTAGTGAAAACATAAAAAGATCTTTAAAAACTATCGATTGTACGTTAAAGTTGAAACTTTGAGCTTCAAAAGGCCTTTTTTAAAATTTTTGTACGCTCATTTTTCGCTGAGTTACAATCGTTTGAAAATAGTCCATTTTTCGGTATACAAAAAGTGTTCCCTATTTTCTTTGAGTAGTGTATAATTTGAAATTAATAAAAATTAGTTGTTATTTTGTCTACATTAGAAACGTGAAAAATATGTTTCCTTAAATATGATTTGAAAAACGTTTTTATAGAAACGTTTCTTATTAATGTTTTACGAATAAAAAATATCGGATACGTTTAAGAAACGTATATAAAACCAATATATGCTACCTCGGGCATCATATATATTTCTACATATCTTAAAGTTATTTATTGACGACAGCCACGTGTCATAAAACATTGTGTTTTGTCATCTGTTGACGTAATTAAAGGTTAACTGTCCATTTGATATCAATGCTATATGGTTACAATGCAGCGGAAATTAAATCACTTCAAATTTTGCATCGAAAATATTATAGTTCTAAGAAGTGACTTAAAAGAGATGATATATTGAATCCAATAAATATTATTGTTATATGTATTATCTAACTGATAGAAATAACTTATTGTTAATTAATGAAGAAAAAATTGTACATGAATATGCATGTATTAATACTTGAATGTTTGTTTTCTTTACGATACTTATTAGATTTTCAACATATGTACTTTTGTATTTTATATATTATATAAGATCTGCACACTTTTTAATATTAACCATTTTGTAAATTCGTAAATGTTAATACACAATTGTAGTTTTCTTTTCAAGCTTTTTTATATTATACTTTGGAGTTTTTTCCTATTTCAAATTGTACATATAAATTTTTGTACATACATATATCATTGTTAGGGAGAGAATAAATTTTTATAAATTTATAAAATATTTGAAAATACGTCTATTATTATGCATGAATTAGAAAAGAGACTATATTATATAAATACTTGTTTAATTATTCTTAGTTATTCTTGACATACAGACTTATTCTTAATTATTCTTAGCAGAATGTTTCTTTAAAAATATAAAAATAGTTTGGAAAATAAAAATGTTGTATATCATTTAATATATGAATGGAATGAATAAGTCACAAAAGGAGACCGGAGCATTAGAAAATCACTTTTTTGAAAAAGTAATTGATTTATAACCGTGAAAGAGAGAATTTGATTGGATGCACTAATGCACACTGGTGCATATAAAAATTGTCGTATATAAATTACAATAATATAATTAAAATAATAAAGTAATTAATATTATTAATTTTTTATATTATATTTTATATTGTATTAAGTATATTAAGTTAATATTAAGTAAAATTATATTATATACGTTATTATAAGGTTATTCGATGCAAATAATAACTCGTACAATTATTTTATTTATTTTAGTTATTTCTGTGCTATTGGAAATTTGTATTTATTCATACTACAAGATTTATATTAAAAACGCTACGTATTGAATCAAACTGCGTTATATGAATGTCGTAGAAAACATATATATCGCCTTTTTTAAATCCATTATTACTTTTCTTATAATCAGAATATCTTTTTATATAGTAAACATGCCTCTTATGCCAAAGAGAAGAAAACTCAGAATTAAATTTATATAAAAAGTTTATAATAAAATTCATTAAACAATTATATATGCATATAATTATTTTTATTTATACATTGAACTATTTTTGTTTTATACATATATATCTTTTTTGTCAAATAATTTTTAAAGATTTTAATTCTCTTTGAAATAAGGCGAGTATCTCCGTGGAAAAAAATAAATTACAAACGGAATGCAGTTAATAAGACGTCATGGCAACACATGATCAGATTGATCATTCGAAGTCAGTTAGTATTGTGATTGCTAGCCAAACACACTACCGCGTTACTTATCGTTTGATTCAAACTGCATCATATGAATATCACAGAAAATATGTGTACGAATAGTGGATTTTAAAAGCATACGTAGTAATACAATTGTATATAGTAACATAATCGTACAAACGAATTGTCATAATTACATATTTAATAAAACCAAAGATATAATAAATATAATAAGATATAAAGAATATAATAAGAATATAATAAGATATAAAGAATAAAAAGATATAATAAATATTCAAGAATTCACGCTGCGTGTGCTTGAATATGGCTGAAAATGTTACACGATCTATAATTTTATAACTTCTCTGATCGTTTGTAATTTGATTGTGGTTGTTTTTTTATCGACGTTTTTCTACTATAATATTAATAAAAAAAAGCTGATAATAATTATATTCCTTTGTTTGCTATACAATCAAATCATTTTGTATCATTTTGCATTGCCATTTGTTCTCTTAAAAAAAATTATTTATTTACTAAAAATTCCCTAATTTAATCTTAAGATATATATTGTGATCGCGACCATAAAGAGAAATCTAAAAACATAATATTAGAAGATAATAACTTACGATTCGTTAAAACTGAGTTTTAAGGAATTTATCGAAAATAAATTTATATATATGAATTAATGTCAATTCGATTAATACATCAGAATTAGTACAGTGAGAAAAACAATTAACTGAGAATTTAACGGAAACTGATTGAGTGAAACGTTTACGAAAAATGCAAATCATGTTTGGAACAATTTTCTGTGTTTTATTGAAAGGTTTAGTATTAACAAAGGCAACTACCACGCCGAAGGATTATACCATTTCAAACATCCTCCAGGAAGAAAATGTTTCCACGCGTCCGGAATTAAATTTCACGCAGGTAAAAAATATTTTCGTTTGATTAAGAAGCAATTGAATGTTATTGCAGTTAGTAGTGTAACTAAACATGAATGAAAATAAATTATATATTCTATATATAATAAGATAAGATAAAATAAAATAATTCAATATAAAAAAAAAGTATATACGATGTTGTAAAAAAAGATGGATAAAGTATATACATATATATATATATATATATATATATATATATATACATATATATATACATATATATATATATATAAAATAATTATTTCTAAAAATAACAATTATTAAAATTAATGAAGTTTTGTGTCTATTATCTGCTACATTAATATAGTATACATACGATGGCACTTCAACAGATTTTTTATGTTATTTTTCTTCAATTTTTAAAATTTCTTTATTTTCCTAGATATACTCGTATATATACATATATATATATATATATATATATATATATAATATTTATTGATTTAAAGTAAGCTTTATATTAATGTAGATTTTATTTTATAAAATTAATTTATAAAGATTACATCATTTCTTTGTGTTTAGAATAATTACATAACGGGATAGAGCTACTAAATATTGAGATAGAAAATCTGTCTGATAAAAAAATCATTCATCAAATATTCTTCAAGTTGTATCAATTAATGCTAATATTTCGATCGACAATATATTCAACAACTATCGCAAGAATTTATATTAATTTTCATTGTACATATATTCATTTATATACAATTATATACACATATTCTTATCGAGACATTATCGGTTTATACTATCGGTTTATATTTATTATTTGCTGAATTTGTTTGTATTAAAAATATAACGAACATTCGAAACAATTCGCGAAAAAACTTGACAAGGTAATAAATAAAAGAATTTATATAATTCTATGACTAATATTTAATAACTGTAAAAAAACAATATTTTTAATCTTTTTATTCTTGAAGTACAAACATTAATAAAACTTTAGTAATATCGGCAAATTTTTAAAAAGAAATATGAGTTACGATATAATTGAATAGAGTTAACTAACTCATCGTGAGAAAGAAAACGAAGAATCAAATCGTTAGACAAAATTGTTTTAATAATTGCAAAGAGCTACACTTTCGCTTGTACTTGACAAAAGCTGTTATGAATCCTCATTGACTCTCGTTAACCTATTGATTGATTTTCTTTTTGATATGAGTTATGTTTGATATAGAAGATGCCTTAAAAAAATAAATAAAAGATAGATCTTATGATATGAATAAAACTACATCACATTCAATTTATATCATTTAGGAATGGTCTATATCAAACCGATATTATTAAGCAAACCAAAAACGAATTTTTTGTTTAATTTTATATATTATATAATTTATCATTAAAAGCCAGAAACAATCGCCTCAATGATATTCACTTAATTCTTTTCGTATGTTACACTTTATGAAGGATATTTCAATGTCCGAGAAAAGTGATCATCATATACTAAATTTCAAATCTGACCGGAGTCATTCTGATAGTACTGTGAGAAATGAGCAAAAAGTCGATGAAGTTATACATGCAAATATTCCTACCACAGAATCTATCGGTAAGTTGCAAAAAAATAAAACATTAATAACAAAATCTATGATAAAAAAGTGTAAATATAATTTAAATTCAAGAGGGAGAGCAATCAAATCTAAAAATATCTTCCAGTATTGAAAAGAATATAAATTCTAATTCTGTCCTAAAAAGAAACAGAAAAGCATAATATAAACATAACATTATATATAAAAATTGTTATAATTTAAGGTAAACTCAATTTTATTAATATGTTACTCTGTATTAAAGCAGTCGCAAATATTATACTTCTGACTTCTTAAGCTATAGGAATTTTTCGAAAAGTACTTGTCATTTTAGTAAAAGTTATTTATTCGTTTCGTCAATGAATTAACGATTACTTTTCTAAATTTTAAATGACGCAAAAAATTCTTATATTATCTTTTTAAAGATCAATACTGTGCTAATTTCCATATTTTGTAGTTTACATTTATTTTTTCTCTTTCCTTTATTTTCACATTAAATTGTTCTTTCTGATTTACTGAGATAATCCACTTAATCTTATATATAACTGTTAATGTGCACGATTTTAAAATCTTTAGAAAGCAGTTTGAGCAAGCCAACATCTCTCAGAGCATTTGTACAATTCGACAATCAATTTACAGAAAAAATAAACGACATTTTTGTGACATTGAGGTAAGAAATCTAAATTCTCAGTTTGTATTCTTTCATTTTTCTTTCTTTTTCTTAAGTTCAATGACATAAATATATCAAAATGATAATTTTGTTAAAATATAAAATGGCTCAAATTTTATTTCAATTTATTATTTTAATTTATTTTAATTAAATTTTAATTTAATTTAATTTATTTTCTAATGACATCTCGAACATTGAAAAGGATCTTGAAAAGGTCGAAATGTATTATTTTCTGTTCACTCGAATCAATTTTTTCAGACATATTTTTTATATTTTTATATCTGACTGATTATTAATATATTATGTCTCTTACTTAGAGTCTTTATTATTATTTCGACTTTTTTACGCTCTAACATCTTGTCCCACGTTCTTTTAGCCTTCCTTTTTATTTTGTTTTGCTAAAATTTTATGTTTTTACAGATGGAACCAACCAGAATTTGCCAATGAAATAATACAAGTGTATCAAGTGCAGTGTTCTTTCTTCGAGGACTTTAAAGAAACCTGCGACGATAAAAATATCACAGCTACAAAGTTGGAGCACACGGTGTACAACCTGACATCTAACACGACATATTATTTTCGAGTACGTGCGCATACTAAAATTGTTGCTGGTCCGTACACGGATTTAATTAATATGTCAACTACACATGAAAATCCAATACCTAAATTATTAGTCTTTTCAAAGAATCAAATAGAAATATTGGATGTGGATTTAACCGTTAATAATGTAGCGTCAAAGTACGTATACTCATAAAAAAATATTTATAATTATCATAAATTTTTAACACTAACTATAAAGTTAAAGTTATTATTATTATGCACAAGTTTATTATTATCAATATTATAGTAGTCATAACTATAAAATTAGAAATCTCGACTATAATTTTTTTACCATACAATTATAATTCCTTTTTTTTCAGATCAATTGAATATAGATGCAATCTTTCAATAAGCTGTGTCACTTATTTGATACAAGAACATAGAATTTTTTGGTGTGACGGAAAAGATCTAATGACATTGAAGATGAATGAAAATGATATCACAAAAATAGCTAGCTTCGAACAATATCCATTTAATCTCTGCATTGACTGGGTAGCAAGAAATTTATATATCACGTTAGACGAGTATTATATTGTAAAGTTCGACTTAACAAAGTGGAAAAATGGCATAATTAAATTTGATGAGATTATCAAATCGCAAAATTTTTTTTTCCGTTTAAGTGTATCACCGTCTAAGGGGTACGTTTACTACCATTCACCTGAGAAAATAATTTTTCATTAAAGATTTATGCAAATTTGTAATTTTCTATAGTTTACGTGGTTTTATAATTAAAATCATAAGTAAAAAATATAATATGTTGTTATATAACTATAAGAATTTCGAATTTTTACTACATATAAATTTCTGTTTTAAAATAATGTTAAGTAATTCTGTGTTAAAATAATGTTTTATGAGTAAAATAATTACATATTTTTTAGAATGTTATACAACACAATAGCAAACTTTCATTTGGGAATAATAGAATATACTATGGTGAAATATCATCTCGATGGAAAAATCGAGCAATCTGTTAAGATAAATACATCCTTTTGTCTATTTTATTATATAAATATTTTTGATGATATACAAATTGATGACATGAATAATGAGGAGCCGTTAATTTACTGGTTAAGTCTTGATTACATATTTGTGACAGACATTGACATTTCTATGTGCAATACGATTTTACACAAGGGAAACATAAGAGATGACCTCCAATTCCTCTCTATGACGATTGATAAAACAAACATTTACATTTCAGTAGCAATTTGGTCCCATTATTCCCATCCTCCATACGCTATATACTCTTTGAAAAAGAAATATGCAAGTCTCAAGAGTGTAAATGCAGCCGAACATGTTGAAAAGATAGTAAGTTCAAATTATTATGAAATTCACGCTTTTGATAAATCTTTACAACCATATCCTCCAATGAGATGTCTGACACCTTACGAAAAAGTTTACAATTTTGAGGATATGAATGCAACGGCAAACAGCATCATTGTAATTTTTCCGGAGCCGGTTGTAAAGAGTGGATGCAAAAAATATAATTTACCAACTACTATATATACTATCTCTGTAAGCTGTTTAGATAACAAGTTTGAGAAATTCAATGTGCTGCGATATGTGACGTACGAGCGATATTACGAGATTCAGAACTTAGCACCATTTACAGAGTACAAGTTGAAATTTACTTTAAGCAATTTTTACTTTGATCAATTATCAATAAATCCATTCGATTCGAATGTGATACCAATAAAAACTAATTCGGGCAAGCTTAATGCACCAGAAAACATAAGTGTTTTATCTTTGACGCCTACTATAGCAGTAGTTCATTGGATGCCACCCAAGAAATTAAACTGCGCGGGCCTGAGCTACGAAGTGCATTGGAAGTCAGCTACATTAGTGAATGGCACGCAACAAAAGGGCAAACAATTTATCAATATGCCGAAACGTATGGCAGATGGCAGATTTTTCACAAAGATTAACTTGTCGCTACCAATACAAGATTATTCGATATACGTGCGTGTATATCCAATTAATTTCAATGATTTCTACAACGAGAGCAAGATCGTTCACAGAATATACTCAGAACCAAACAATATTACTTTGATCGAGGTCAACATAAATAGCATGATCATTTCATGGATCTCTAATATTAATCTGACGATCTTTTGTATACTGAAATACAAAGAGATTGCAGCAGAAAAGTGGCAAACAATACATTATTTTAAAATAAATTATAACAATGAAGTAATGTACCGTGTCGAAAATTTACAATCGGGCACTTTATACAAGTTTCGCTTGATATTGAAATACCTCGAATATAAGGAAAATTTTATATGGCCGGCTGATGAAAGATTTATTTTTTCAACACGTGGTAGCAAACGTGGTAAGCAAATATCCATACAGCACAATAAGGTTACGGATATATTGAAGAATAATTTCATTGCAATATTGTAAATCAAATGTGAAACTCTTCTGAGTTATTGTTATAAGATTGTGATGAAGTTAAGCTGTTCGTTTTTTGCAATGAAGCATTGTAGTAATATTACAGTGTAATATTATATATTGAAAAGAATGCAATGTTATTGCTAACATATTTTTGTTTTCGATTGATGAATATCTTGGGAACATTTAATTTAATTAAAAAACTCGATATAAATAGAAGTTTGCAATATCTAAAATAGAATCACTTATTTTATTTTAAATGTTCTGTATCCTCTTATAATGGATATTTTATACACATATACATATATGTTATAGAATTAATTATACATTTTTATTTATATTTTTATTTAAAAATTTAAAAAATCCGTTATAATTATATTTATTTGCATGTGAAAGGTTCATAAAAATGCACAGAAAAATATAATGTTAATTATAATAGTATCTATATACTTAATATAATAAAAAAATATATTATCTTTCAAGATTAATATCGTAACATTGTAACATTGATATAAAATGTTATATATATTTTATTAAAAAGAGAGCAGTGCTTATCTTTAGCTTAGAATTATAATATATTTACTTGATTGATATTATTTCTGTATCATTATTTCATTCGACTTCTGCAAAAAAGTAAAATTCATTGCATATATACAAATATGAAAAAATATATTATTACATTATTTTTATAGATAAATTAAAGGATGTTATAATTTTAAAATGTTTTCAAAATATAAATATCATATTGCTAATGTCTAATTCATACTTTTTTAAATTATATTTCTACAATGTTTCTGTATTGTTGCATTGCAATTTGTAATATTGCAATATTATTGCAAAGTAGTTGTAACATTCTGTGTTGCATAGATATTATAACATTATATGCTAATTTTTTTAGATATGATTAAGCCTAGAATTTAAAAAAATTAAATTTTGTAATAAAGTTATGAGTAAAAATAAATTTGTAAAAACATACATAAAGATATTAAAATTATATTTTTGCTTAATATAGATATTCCGAGCACTCCTGGAATAATAGTGAAAGAATATTATTTATTATTAATGTTATGTTTTATCGTTATAATTATTATAATCTGCGTCTGCTACTTTTATCGTTGTAAGTATATTTGATGTAAAATATATTTGATGTAGGTGTCGACTTGAATTGGATATTATACATATATATATCTGATCTAATATCTAAAACTTTACTAAAAATAGTAATTTACTTATATAAAACTAAACAAATAAATTTACTAAAAAATAGTGGATTTTATAATATATATTATTACATAATTAACTCGAAATTTTACAACAGTATATCATCAACGCAGAAGTAATAATGAACAATTTTTGTCTTCAACAACGGCCGATGTAGAATTGGCGATTCTACATGAAATACCTTGCCGAAACACTCGATTCAATATGATTTACAGTCCTATGTTACATTATAACCCGGATGAATGTGCGATAACTAAAATCGCACGAAATCAAATTACACTTACAAAACATCTTGGTAGCGGCGCATTCGGAATGGTAAAAATTAATTTTTTCAAGCAATATTTCAAATTAATTTTTGGATTAACAAAACAGATACGTATTTTCTAATAAAGATATAAATTACATAAATTTTTTTAATAGATTATAAGTAATATAAAATTTACATGAGACAACAAGCATGCACTTTATTATATATTTTTCATTGAATTATTTAATATAAAGTAAAATATAATACTACTTGACATTAAACTATACATTTTCTAATAAAGTACGCATGTAAATTTGTGTGAAATATTTCACAGGTGTATCAAGGAAAGGTGAAGGATTTAGAAAAATCGGGCACAGAGATGTCCGTTGCAATAAAAACGCTTCAAAAAGATGCTTCTTCCCGTGAGAAAGAGAAATTCTTAAAGGAAGCCAAGCTTATGAATCATTTTCAACACAAACATATATTAAGATTGTTGGGCGTTTGTTTAGATGGAGATTCTCCGTTACTAGTGTTGGAATTGATGGAAACTGGAGATCTGTTAAAATATTTGAGAGAATGTCGAAATTTGCAAGCGTCAGATTCGCTTGCTCTGGGTTTGCAAGATTTGCTCGCTATGTGCGAAGATGTTGCGCGAGGTTGTTGCTACTTGGAAGAGTTGCGTTTTGTACATAGAGATATAGCGTGTCGCAATTGTTTAGTATCTTCGAGAAATCGCGAGAATCGTATAATTAAAATTGGAGATTTTGGATTGTCCAGAGATATCTACAAGAATGATTATTATCGCGTGGTAAATACAATTGTGGAAAAAAGTTAATAATTAAAAAATGAATTTTTCTAAACATACTTTCTATTTTTTTATCATAATAGTATTGTGCATTGTTTTTTTAAGTAATATAGAATATAAGTAATTTTTATTTATATATAGCAAGAGATAAATGAACGTTTTTGATTTTGCACACATTCTAAAAATGAACAACTTAAATCAGAAAATTAAATTTTTGTTTAAATCATGTTTTAGAAAGGAGAAGTTTTGCTTCCTATTCGCTGGATGGCACCCGAATCTTTAATCATGGGAATATTTACTTCTCAAAGCGATGTTTGGTCATTTGGAATATTAATGTGGGAAATTACATCGTTGGGTGAACAACCTTATAGTGCCAAGGTTAATGAAGAAGTGATAAATTATGTACGTGCTGGAGGCAGGTTGCCGATGACTCTTAACTGTCCGTCAACGTTGTACCAGTTGATGCTGCGTTGCTGGAATACAGCGGATGCCAGACCAAATTTTAATCTTTGTCTGAAAAATATTATAGCATTTAGAAAGAACACGGAAGATGCCTTATTGAGTCCAGTCGATACTATTTAGCCGATATAATTAAATTAATGTTTATTTTATTTTCCAAACGATTCAATAAATAAAATCTTAATGTAGAAAAAATATTTCTAGAATATTTCTAAATTGATTCTTATTTTTAGGTTTGATCTTAATATTATATGTATCAATAAAAGTAAAAGAAATTTTGTAATCTTACCTTCCATAAAATTTTGATTATTATTAAAAATATCACAACAACTCAATAAATCTTAATACAGAAAAAATATTTCTAGGATATTTTTAAATTGATTCTGATCTGATTATTTTTAGGTTTAATCTTAATGTTACATGTATCAATGAAACTTAAATTTTGTAATATTATTTTCCATACAATTTTGATTATTATTAAAAAATATCACGTCCGTTTTCATGATTGTACAAATTCAAATAATATGATGATATATCTTATTTTTAAGTAATCGAAGCGAAATTTAATGATTGTGATTATATATACAATATGTATATGTATAAACAATATTTTTTTGAACATAGTAATATAATTAATTTTCGACATTATATATGACCGATAATTACAAACTCATTGTAAAACTTATGAGTGAAAGAGGAAACGCGAATAATATCCACTATAATTAATTGTGAATATATAAATATAATAATATAATTATTTTTGAATTTATAACAGTTATATAATATATCAATATATAAATATATAAATATTTTACATTATTCGAGATAAGAATATAAATATATTATATTTTTTTATTTAACAACTTATTATATATTCAAATTATATTAATGATTAAAAAAGTACGCAGTTGTAAAAATGAACATTTATTGTTTTATCTCCAATAACTGTTTAATAAAGTTAATAATGTATAAATATATATTCTCATATAAGTACGGTCTATCATTTCGAAAAAAATGGCGAACATAACTCGCCGTTTTTTTCAAGAACACAACATTACGTTGCTGGACCATCCCGCAAATAGCCCGGACTTAAATCCAATCGAGCATATATGAGACGAGATGGAACGACGATTAAGACATCGAGAACAGTCGCAAAATTTCAATGCGGAAATTTTGAAACAAATTTGGAACGAAATTTCACAGGAATTAATTCGGAGATGCATAAACATGCGAGAGCGATTACAAGCTGTAATTGAGTAGAGAGAGTTTGAGTAGAGAGGAGGCAATATACAATACTACACACACACACACACACACACACACACACACATACAGCAGAGAGAGTTTGGAGTCGTTAAATACTGCAGAAGTGACGAACTGCGGGGTCCTTATTTCTGCTGTGACACACGCACACACACACACACAAACACACACACACGATGTGCAAAATCCGACCGGCAACCTCCACGTGGTGCACATTAGGTAACGCTAATGCCGGCGATAAACGTCATTTTTTAATAAAATTTGAGGTTGTTTTTAAAGACATGTAACTCGGCCGAAAAAAATCATAAATAAGTTTTAAAAAAAAGAAGTTTGTAGAAAAATAGTTGTTTTTATACGGAGATTGATTTAAATTTTTTAAGAAAAAATTTTTTATAACAACTGCAGAATGTCGAAAATGTGTAATTTTAAGGAAAAAACAGTGTTTCTTTCTTAGGGCATAGGACTAAAAAGATGAAAAAATTTTTTTAAATTATCAAATGCGCGTTAAAGCAGAAGCTTCATGCTTGAAAATGCTATTTTTAATTTAATTTACATAGAATTATTCCAGAAAGAAGCTATGTTATTATCTTTCTACTGTTACAGATTTCTTGCGACTGAAGACTTAACATTATCCATTGCTTTTGATTTCCGAGTAGGAGAATCTATAGTTAGGATGTTAAATAAAGAAATATATTCTGTTATTATGAAAGTTTTACAGCCACTATATTTTTCTCCATCGACGAAACAACAATGGACTCATATTGTTAATAATTATTGGAAAAGATGGCATATATCAAATTATTTAGGAGCAATCGACGGCAAGCACATCATGTTGAGATGTCCACCTAACTCTGGAAGTTCTTATTATAATTATAAGAAACAATATAGTATAGTATTAATGGCAATTGCCGATTATAGATATATATTTAGTTTAGTAGACATAGGAGCTTATGGTGGAAATAGCGATGGAGGAATTTTCTCAAATTCAGAGATAAGAGAAAATTTGAGAAATAATAATCTTAACTTGAAAGGTAAGGGTACTAGAAGGTAAAGCTAATTTACTAGGATGTGACATTCAAACTTCTGGGTTTTTCGTGGCAGATGATATCTTTCAACTTTCAACCAGAAATAATGAAACCATATTCTGGCAAGTATCTATCAAACAAGAAACAAATATTCAATTACAGAATTTCAAGAACTCAACAAACAATAGAAAGTACTTTTGGAATATATAGTAACAGGTGGAATATATTTCATCAAGCTTTGCGTATGCTACTTGAAACAGCAGACATAATAATAGCAGCTGTTGTTTGTCTGCATAATTTTATTATGATAGAAGAAGAAAATAATAGAGAAAAAATGTATAGCCAATGTTCACAAAGTACTAATGGATATGTACAATGGTTTCCAATTGAAGGACAGTCATTAATACCAAATGCTCGTGCAGGCTTGATACAAAAAGATTATAACATTATGTGATTATTTTGTTACTCCTGCAGGTGAAGTGGAATAGCAATATGAATACATAAAGAGAGATTTACATGGAGAATATATATAATGTAAACTTTTTAAATAATAAATAAAACAATTTTTTATTTCCATGTTATATTCCATATTATTTATTTAATCCCATTCTTACAGAAATAAAAATATTTTAATATAATATTTATTACAATTGTTATATACATATTTCAAAATGTTATTAAGAATTTTATGTACTTTGAAATTTCTTTGAAAGATACATTCAGATTTATGTAATACATCATGTAGAAGCCATATTTTATCCATATAAATTAATCATTCATTTTTCAATCTAAAAATATTAATTATATTATGTTTTCATATAAATTATATATAAATAATTTCTTTATTTGTTATTATTTAAAATAATTTTAACTTATTAAATATCTTTTTACTCACCTGATATCTTTCATTTTTAAATATAGTTATTCAAGCATAGTATGTGATGAAATAATAAGTTTTCAAAGAGAATTTTATATATATATATATATATATATATATATATATATATATATATATATTATGATGTTTTGAAAAGGCAGATCTGTATAAAAAAATTAAAAGATAATATTAATTTTTATATTAATTATATTGTAATATATTAATATATTAATGTTTAATATTATATTACAATGTATATAATATGTCACTATTTATACAAAATTTAATATATAATTCAATACAATTCTCTGAAAGATAAAATAAAATACATGTGCAAAATTATTATTTTTAATAAAGTAATTTGTTTTATTGTTGCTTAAGCATAATTAGCTATGTATAAAATAAAATAAATTTTCAATTAAAATAATTTTAATAATTTAATAACAATTATTAAAACTTGAATTAATAGAAAACACAATTGTTTTTAAACTTTTTAAATAACAAAAAACAAAAACTTATTTAACAGAGTTAACTTATTTAACTTTTTTAACAGAGTTTATAAGAAATAAAAAATAAAAATGAAATATATATTTAACAGAGTAAACTTATTTAACTTTTTTAACAGAGTTTATAAGAAATAAAAAATAAAAATGAAATAAAAAATAATATTTTGTGTTACATGTTATGTAATGGTGTAGTGAGTGCATCAATTATTAATTTCTTTCTTGCTACTTTTTCAGATTCTGACATATGTTCTAAATGTGAACGAACATATTCAGCGAATGACTGATCAGGCGTTTTCAAATTATGTGTGGTATTTTCTTTTGAATTTTCGAGAAAATTCAAAATTGTATTACTAATATCTGTAAAAGTATCATCAATGCTTTTTTTTTCATCAATTTTACGTTTTTTATATTTTGAAGTATTTATTTCCTGAGAATGTTTATTATTGTCTTGAATTAAATTGTCCTGATTTTGAAATGATAATTTACTCATATTTTCTTTTTGTGGCATATTATATTTTTCATTCTCTGATTCACTAGTAGACTGGTCACTATTTTTTAACTTGCAATGACTTAAAATTTTTGAATTTTGCACAGATTGAGCAGCATTTTTGTTAGATCTAATGTTAGTAAAAGTACTGAAAAATAATAAAACAATTTTACAATAATAAATTAATAATACATTAATTACCAATAAATTAATAAAGTATATTTAAAGTCTTATTAAATTAAATTTTAATTGTTAATTATTAATTTTATAATATTAAAATAACTTACTTCCTTTTTTTAATAAAATTATCGAGAAAAGATTGTTGGGAAAAGAATGCAAATGGTTTATGTTTTGAAGAAACATTGCCACTTTTATATTCATTTTCAATATTTTTTTTTCACGACTGTATTGATCTCTTAAAGAAGTACATCTTGCTTGACAATACTTAGGCGTGTAATGTTTACCTGCAAAATTTTAACAAATAATTATTTACTGATTTATAATTTAGATAGCCTATAAATAACTTATATCGGTTGCAAAGTATATTGTTATGCAAGTTTACTAATCTAAATTTCTTTGTTGCATAATAGTAGAAATTTCCATCCAAGCATTTTCTTTCATTTGTTTATCTTTAAAATTATTATCATTTTTATCATATAAATGTTTCCATTCTCTATATAATTATATAAGGTAATCATCACCTTCTTTTTCTTCAATAATAACATCACTTGCAGATTCTATATCTTCGTGATAGATAATTGAATCATCCGTACATGGATTAAGAGAATAATAATGATCACTCATTTTCTTCAATAAAAAGTCTAAATATTTAAAAAGTAATCAATCACATTAATCAGTCTCATGTAATCACAAACGCCGAATTAATGGAACATACAATGCGATGATTATGTCCTACGTTTACGTAAAATCCTTGTGCGTTGACTAAGGGCCATAGCACATAGCATGGCGTAATGGTCTTAAAAGTCTTAAGACGTAGACGTAAGTCAACGCACAAGCTTTGGCGTATGTCGTAATGTCGTGCAACAAATAGACAATACGTGAATTGAAAAAGCATTGAAAGTAAGTAAATGATCTAATCATTTTTAAGTTTTTATTAATAAAGAATAATATAATTATATATAATCATCCTGAAATTAAATAATGCAATTTTTATTCGTTCTTCAAGTATGATAATAGTGAAATGAAAATATCTATTTTGATTACATGATATATAATATTCTAGGTTAGTTGCAATTTTTTTTATTTATTTAAAATTGTGCAGTTATTATGAAAGAAAATAAAATAGATTTCTTAATAAAATTTATTATTTATTATAAACAATAATATTTTTGTTGCTCATGCAGGTGCTTATCCAATAAACATAACATTTTAAAAGAGTATAATATGTACACAAAAAGCAAGAAGAAAAATATCAATTTTTTAATATGTGTGCTACATTGGATGTGCACGTATATTTTACTTATACGAAAAAAAAAACAAATCAGATGGTTGCACAGATGATGGTATGTTAGCCCAATTAACCAAAAAAGAGATCAATTTGAAGATTATAATTGTTTATTCCAAGAACTTAAGAATGATGAAAAAATGTTTTACCGCTACACAAGAATGACAACTGAACATTTGAACAAGCTTACAGAATTAACGACACCGTATTTAAAAAAAATAAATGAACGTGCTCTTATTCCGGAACATAGACTTATAATAGCTTTAAGATAAGAAATTCTGACATTATACAAGATTTTAAGATGTTTGATATGTATTGTAATTATTATAATTTTTGTCTTCATAAGAACGCTAAACACTAATTAATGTTGTGTAATATATGTTACTTTTTGCAGATATCTTGCTACAGGCGATTTACCGTTATCCATAGCTGTAGCTTTTAGAGTTGGCGAATCTACAGTCAGGAAAATAATAAAGGAAGTTTGTTTAGTGTTAATTAAAGTTTTACAACCTCTATATCTTGTTTGTCCTAATGATGAAGATTGGAAAAAATGTGCTGATGGTTTCTGGAAACGTTGGAATCTTCCTAATTGTGTTGGATCGATAGATGGGAAGCACATAAGATTACGATGTCCTCCAAATTCCGGAACTTTAGTTTACAATTATAAAAAATATTACAGCATAGTATTAATGGCAGTAGCAGATTCTATATACAGATTTACACTAGTTAATGTAGGAGCCTACGGAGGTAAACTTAAAATATAAAATTATTCACACTTATATTAAATGTAGTGGAAATAAAGTAATTTATGTATATGTTTATATTTAATTCAATACTGGAGACAGCGATGGAGGAATTTTTAATGATTTTCAAATAGGAATTAATTGGAACAACGAACAATTAAATCTGCCAAAAGAAATTGTTAATCTTCCTGATAGCAATATAAAAACATTCCTATATTTTATTGGTGATGATGCTTTCAGACTGTCGAATAGAATAATGAAACCCTATTCTGGTAAAAACTTAACCGATATACAGCAAATCTGTAATTATAGATTTTCAAGAGCACGCAGAACTGTCGAAAGCGCTTTTGATATTTTTGCTAACAAATGAAGAATATTTCATACATCTATTTGTATGCTGCCAGAAACTGTAAATATAATTCTTACAGCTTCAGTTTGTTTACATAATTATGTGTTAAAAGAAGAGTAACACACCGGATATAAATATTACAGTCAAGAGATAATTCCAGAAAATGATGTAAATAATATATAAATACTTATGATGAAGTAACTCTATAATTATTATATGCATATTTTATTTATTATTATTTAAATAACATTCATTAATATCTATTGTAGAATACAATGTGGCTGTCATCAAGTGTTGAAGAATGTAGTGGTAACGTAAGGGATGGTCAAGCTCAAAGGGATAAACTATGTGAATATTTTGTTTCTTCAGCTGGAAGACTGGAATGGCAATATGACTATATTCATAGAGGTCTATATCAGAATGAATAAAATAAACGCAATTATAAATAGTTTTTCTGTTTTTTAATCAAACCGTTTTGTTAATCAAAATATTGATATAATATACATTTGTCATCAAAATACAGTTATACATGTTATATAACAAAATACACACAAATATATTGTGTAATGTCGTAACAAAAAATAAATTCTTTCTTTTAATTCTACATAACACATACATATTTATTGCAACAAATAAATAAAACGCTTTTTTATGACACAGCTATTTATCCGTCTACATTCACTATTTTTAGTATAATAATGTTCGAAATCCGTAATTATTGTCGCGGTCTAAAAATTCGAAGAAACAACATCCGCATTTTTCTATTATAAAATCCGAATTCAACGGGAATCGAGAAACTTCTCGAAATTCTATTTTCGGCAAAAAACCCGACCGTTCGAGTTATCTCTCATTTTTTTCGGTACCAAAGAAACGCTCGGTAAAAACAATTGACAATAACATTGTCAACCGCCGCCAAAATCCGCGCAACGGTCGGGCATGCGCGCCCATACGTCACGATCAGCTGATGGCCAATCAGCTGATCGAAAAAGGTCGTGCGCATGGCAAACGCCGCAACGCTATTTCCTGACCTCATCGGCGGCCAATTATGCGCGGCGCCATGAGGTCACCGCCAAATTTTGAAGTTAATTGGGCCACGTCGCAACGGGGCCCAAAATCCGCCTGGTATATAATGAGCCCAGCGAGAGGGCACAAAAAGTCTCGCACTTTACGCTCCGTACTCATTATTCGACCGCTTGTTACACCGCTATATTCAAACGATCGCTATTCTTTTGGACATTTCTCTATTCTCTCGGCAAATCCGCAGATCATACCGCACACGACGACCGCTATCTCTTTCGGACTTTGATTTCCCGCACGTATTCTCGCGAATCCGCGCACGGCGACCGCTTCGCTTCATTGCACTGCTCGTCTCTTCACATTGTGGCGTCATCACCGCACTGGACACTTGTAACCTTTTAATTTTGACTTTAATAAAGTCTGTCTTTGTCATTCAGAGTCAACCGTTCTTTTCACTGACGGCCTTTCACTTTCCACACTTTACCGCCGGAATCGCTCGCGAACATTTCTGGTCCTTCGAGCCGGAGTATTATCATCATCCGCGTCCGCTGTTTCGTGAGTGATCCTCTCAGTGTCGTGCAGTTTGTGGCGTGCAGTGAACTCTGAAAACACAAGAAGAACATTGAGCATGAGTACAGACGTTAAGGTATTGCTGGAGGCGCAGCACGACATCCACGGTCGGATCTCCCGCGCCGTGGACAATCTTCGGAAGATGGGCGTGAGCAACATCACCCGCGACGCCATCCAAGCCCGCATCAGTATCCTGGACAACCTCTGGCAGAAAATGGAGGCCCAGCATGAGCTCGTTCGAGCAGCGCTGAAAGACCGGTATCAGGACAGTGAGTACGCTGTATCCAATTTTATCGAAGTCGCGGAGAATACTTACGTGACGCAACGTAGCACGTTGACCGGCTACGCGGAAAAGCTCAAGGGCGAGGCGTCCGTTGAGGCTAAAGGCGAGCCGAATCAGGAACAGGCTCCTAAAACCTCGCTGCCGCGCATCAAGCTTCCGACGTTTTCGGGATCGTACGAGGAGTGGCCGTCCTTCCGCGATCTCTTCCTATCGGTTATCGGGGGGAATGCGTCAGTCTCCGACATCGAGCGCTTTCACTACCTCCGGTCTTGCGTCAAAGGGGCCGCTGAAAAATTAATCAAGTCATTAACAGTGACCGGTGACAATTATCATCGCGCTTGGTCGGTTCTGTGCAAACACTTCGAGAATAAAAGAGAGCTCATCCGTTCTAATTTCGCTGCGTTCACCTCGGTTCCCAAAATGAAATGCGAATCCGCGGAGGAACTCGGTCGCATCCATAACGCCGTTACGACCGCGGTAAACGCACAGGAGAGTATAGGGAGGCCCATCAACTCCCATGGCATGGATCTCCTTAATTTCCTCGCTATCGAGCTTTTTGACTCGCGTACACGGATGGAATGGGAGTCCTCTACCTGCGACTCCGCTGATCCGCCGGATCACGACACTCTTGTCGACTTCATCGCCAAGCGCATTCTTACGCTAAATGCCGCCAAGCCGAGATCGCCGCTGAAGAGCTCCGAAAGTCCGTCGCGAACCGCAAAGGCCCACCACGCGAAGACCGGATCCGACCACTTGAAGTGCGCACTGTGTCAGGGAAAGCACGCGCTCATGCACTGTAACGTATTCAAGGCCAAGCCTGCGATTGACCGAAGGTCCTTTGTGGAACAGGGCAGACTGTGCTATAACTGCCTCGGGAATCACTTAATTTCCAAATGTCAGTCTGTAAGGACCTGTCTGACGTGCAAGAACAAGCACCACACTACGCTGCACGACGCGTATGTTTCGTCCTCGTCCAACGAAGCAACCGCTCTATCCGCGATGCACTCCGCATCTGACCGCAAGGCGATCCTCCTCGCGACCGCCCGTGTGCACATCACTGATCGCTCCGGGGATCTTCATCCAGTTCGAGCGATGCTCGATCAAGGCTCCGAGGTGTCAATCATCTCCGAGGCGCTGGTCCAGCGCCTGAGGCTTCCCCGCTCCAGCTCCTCAGTGTCAATCATCGGCATCGGCGGAGCTCGATCCGGGTCAACCCGCGGCAGGGTGTCGCTCGATCTCTCCTCGCCGATCACTGGAGCCAAGCTTAAGGCCGTCGCCTTCGTGCTACCCCGCCTGTCGGCGTATCAGGGTCCGGCGGTAACCAACCTCGCCTCCTGGCCTCATGCCCGTGGTCTTGAACTCGCCGACCCCAGGTATCAGGAGCGCGATCCGGTCGAGTTATTGTTGGGCGCCGAAGTTTACTCGATCATCCTGGAAGTCGGCCTTCGCAAGGGTGGTCCCCAAGAACCCCTCGCCCAAAAAACTGCCTTGGGATGGATTCTGTCAGGAGGGTCCCGCTCGGCGTCCTTCCAAGGTCTCCGCAGCTCCCTGCAGTGCACTGTGGATCAAGAATTAAATCAGCTTGTGCACAACTTTTGGGAACAGGAGAGAGAATCGTCTCCCCCGGTTGCACCCACGCCAGAGGAAGAGGAGTGTGAAACCTTCTTCACTCTTACTCACCAGCGGACAGCCTCAGGAAGATACGTCGTACGTCTCCCATTTTCTTCCTTGCCAACGTCACTGGATGAGACGCGAAAACCAGCCGGAAGCCTCTTGAACGCTATGGATCGTCGGTGCAAGAAAGATCCTGAATTCGGAGTTCGGTATCGAGAATTCATGCAGGAATATGAGGACCTGAAACATATGAGTCCTGTGAATACGGTCGGCAACGCTGAATGTTACTTGCCTCACCATGGAATCCTCCGCCAGTCCAGCTCCAGTACTAAGCTCCGCGTTGTCTTCAACGGGTCACAACGCACCAGCTCCGGAGACTCCCTCAACCAGCATCTGTTTATCGGCGCCAACTTACTGCCAGCCTTAGCTGACGTCCTTCTCCGCTGGCGCCGGCACCGCTTCGTATTCGTCACCGATATCGAAAAGATGTTCCGGCAAATACTCGTCCATCCGGAAGATCGCCGCTTCCAGCGGATACTTTGGCACTCAGGGGCTTCCGACAAGGTCCAAGAATTCGAGCTGAACACCGTGACCTACGGGCTCGCCTGCGCTCCGTTCCTCGCCGTCCGCACACTTCGCCAATTAGCAGCCGACGAAGAAGCGCGGGGCCCGAAGGGGGCAGCCGCTCTGCGCCGTGACTGTTACATGGATGATGTAATTACGGGATCAGACACCTTGCGCGATGCGGTCGCCTTGCAGACGGAACTCCGAGAGCTTTGCACGGCGGGCGGGTTTCCGCTGCGGAAATGGGCTGCCAATAGCGAGACAATCCTGGAGGGAGTTCCTCCGGATCATCGACTCCAGCAGGCGCACCACTCCTGGGAGAACGAGGTGCACTCCACCTTAGGCCTGCGCTGGCATCCCGCCAGTGACGAATTCTCTTTCGCGATCCGGCCTCGAGTCTCTGGGGGGTACACGAAGAGGCAAGTCCTAGCGGAAACGGCGCGGTTATTCGATCCCTTGGGGTGGCTCGCCCCTGTTATTATCCGTGCCAAGATACTGATCCAATCAGCGTGGTTGAAAGGGCTGGATTGGGACACTCCGCTCCCAATTGAGGACGCGCAGTCCTGGCGGCGCCTCCTCTCCGAACTCCATTTACTTGAGCGCCTCCGAATAAGGCGCTGGCTGGGCACTGTCCACCAGGGCACGCAGATCGAAATCCACGGATTCGCCGACGCGTCCGAGCGTGGTTTCGCGGCGGTCGTCTACCTTCGCGTGAAGAGTGCCGACGAGACGTCCATTCACTTGCTGGCGGCTAAAAGCAAGGTCGCGCCAATAAAGCCCGTGACGCTCCCACGGCTAGAACTTTGCGCTGCATCCTTGCTGACGGGTCTTGTACGGCACCTCCGGTCTTCACTCGACCTACCATCGGCGCCCGTATATCTCTGGTCCGACTCCCGAGTCGTCCTTCACTGGATCAAGGGCCACGCGTCTCGGTGGAAAACCTACGTGGCCAACCGAGTGTCACTGATCCAGCAGCGGCTCCCCGAAGCTCAATGGAGGCACGTGCCTGGCCAAGAGAATCCCGCCGATTGTGCGTCCAGAGGGATCGCACCGAGGGACCTGTTGAACCACTCCCTCTGGTGGAATGGCCCGGCCTGGCTGCTCAAGGGTCAGTCGCTATGGCCGGACAGCCACGACCAGACATCGATGGAAAACGTTCCTGAAAAGAGAATGACGGTATTAGTCGCCACCAGCAAGGACAGACCGGAGCCGGAAATCCTCCTCCAGTTCTCAACGCTGCATAGACTCTTACGTGTCTCTGCCTGGTGCCTTCGTTGGCGCCGAACTCCTCGCCGTTCCCCCAGCACTGCACTGCTCCCGGACGAACTCGACTCCGCTCTACTCCGTTGGCTCAGGGTCGTCCAGGGAGTCCACTACCCTGCCGAGCTCGCCGCCGTGCGTGAGTCTCGCTCAATGCCTCACGGCAGTCACCTGGCCAGGCTGCACCCCTTCATCGACGACAAGGGAGTCCTGCGTGTCGGTGGTCGCCTGAAACACGCCATACTGACCTTCGATGAACGACACCCCATGATAGCACCGCCCACTTCATGGCTCACTAAGCTCATGGTGGAATCCTGCCACCGCCGGACGCTGCACGGAGGCACGCAGCTCACTCTGGGGCTCCTCCGCCTCCGCTTCTGGGTTCCGCAGGGTCGAGCCGTGGTCAAGCGGATCCTGCACCGATGCGTGACTTGCACCCGCTGGCGAGCCATCACTCCGCAGCCTCTCATGGGCGACCTCCCTCGAGAGCGAGTTACTCCTGCTCGTCCCTTCCTGAGAACGGGAGTCGATTACGCTGGCCCGATATTCATCCGTACATCCAAAGGACGTGGACATCGAGCGCATAAGGCGTTCATAGCTGTATTCGTTTGCCTTTGTTCCAGAGCGATCCACCTTGAAGTAGCGTCTGACTACTCCTCAGACGCTTTTCTCGCCGCCTTCCGCAGGTTCGTTTCCCGCCGTGGACTGTGCGAGGAAATGTACTCAGACTGCGGGACGAACTTTATCGGAGCAGACAGACAACTCCGAGAACTTTTCCGAGCATCTTCTCCCGACGGCCGTCGAATCTCTCAGGCAGTCACCAAAGAGGGTATATCCTGGCGCTTCAACCCGCCTAGCGCCCCGCACTTTGGAGGACTCTGGGAGGCGGCGGTGAAGTCGACGAAACATCACCTGCGACGGGTGATAGGAGAAGCTACGCTTACCTTCGAGGAGATGAGTACTCTTCTGGCTCAAATCGAAGCTTGTCTGAACTCTCGTCCGTTGCAGGCCTTATCTGACGATCCGGACGACCTGTCCGCACTGACTCCAGGACATCTTCTTATAGGCGCCCCTCTGCTGGCGATTCCAGAGCCTTCATCGGCCGAACGTTCACCAAGTATGTTGTCGCGGTGGCAACTCCTCCAGCGAATGCGCGACCACTTCTGGCAGCGATGGTCCCAGGAGTACATCCACGCCTTGGCACCCCGTCCAAAATGGCTCAAGGCCGAGCTCGCTCCGGAGGTCGGAGCTTTGTGCCTCATCCGCTCGGAGTCAACTCCACCTGCCCGATGGCCTCTCGCGCGTATCATCCGGTTGCACCCAGGAAGCGACGGCACTGTCCGCGTGGTGACCGTCCGAACGTCCACTTCGGAACTCGTCCGGCCGATTGTAAAGCTCGTCCTCCTGCCGGGAGTCAAGGAGGCCCACACGCCCGCGGACGAGTAGCAGTCTCAAGCGTTATTCTCCCTGCGTAGCGTTTTCGCGCTTCTTTGTACATATGTAATATAAGGAGCTTCCCGGCGCTTGTATATAATGTATATTTTCTATGTCAGCTGTCTGTCGCACGCTCCGCGATTTCACCGTGTACTTTCATTATCACTCACTCACTATCACTCACTCACTATCACTCACTCACTATCGTTGCGGGAGCCTTCGTCGATCATTGCACTTCACAATGTACGATTTTTCATTCCTTTCATCACTGTAAAAATTTCACTCCATACCGCATTACTTATTCTCGCGAAAGATTAATCGAAACTGTTCGACACGTGTCTTCTCATTACGTCACACATTTCATTCATACATCACGATCGATAGCTCGTCAATGGCACAGTACGCGACACCTGTCCGCATCCGCACACACTCCCAAATTTCGTCATGTAATGACGAGGCGGGCGGGATGTTCGAAATCCGTAATTATTGTCGCGGTCTAAAAATTCGAAGAAACAACATCCGCATTTTTCTATTATAAAATCCGAATTCAACGGGAATCGAGAAACTTCTCGAAATTCTATTTTCGGCAAAAAACCCGACCGTTCGAGTTATCTCTCATTTTTTTCGGTACCAAAGAAACGCTCGGTAAAAACAATTGACAATAACATTGTCAACCGCCGCCAAAATCCGCGCAACGGTCGGGCATGCGCGCCCATACGTCACGATCAGCTGATGGCCAATCAGCTGATCGAAAAAGGTCGTGCGCATGGCAAACGCCGCAACGCTATTTCCTGACCTCATCGGCGGCCAATTATGCGCGGCGCCATGAGGTCACCGCCAAATTTTGAAGTTAATTGGGCCACGTCGCAACGGGGCCCAAAATCCGCCTGGTATATAATGAGCCCAGCGAGAGGGCACAAAAAGTCTCGCACTTTACGCTCCGTACTCATTATTCGACCGCTTGTTACACCGCTATATTCAAACGACCGCTATTCTTTTGGACATTTCTCTATTCTCTCGGCAAATCCGCAGATCATACCGCACACGACGACCGCTATCTCTTTCGGACTTTGATTTCCCGCACGTATTCTCGCGAATCCGCGCACGGCGACCGCTTCGCTTCATTGCACTGCTCGTCTCTTCACATTGTGGCGTCATCACCGCACTGGACACTTGTAACCTTTTAATTTTGACTTTAATAAAGTCTGTCTTTGTCATTCAGAGTCAACCGTTCTTTTCACTGACGGCCTTTCACTTTCCACACTTTACCGCCGGAATCGCTCGCGAACAAATAATAATTGTAATTTCTTATTTGATATTACATTAGATAATAAAAACAAAAAAAATTTATTTTTCAGTCTTTAGTATTTTAGCATAACGAGCTTAACGAAAAATATTATAAATTCTTTTTTCTAAGTTACATAAAAATATATGAAACACATCTTTTTAACATAACTATTATTTATCACTAAACAGAAAATAAAATTACGTAATTACTCAATAAATGAAATAATAATTATGAATATGTATTAGAATATTTAACAAATAATAAAATTTGTAAGGGATTAAGCACAATGAAAAATATAAGGAATAGGAACAGGGAATAATGTAGAAAAGAAAGAGAGAAAAAGATATTTCTTTTTCGCTTTCTTTCTTAGGTTATTCCCTGTTCTTATTCCTTATATTTTTCATTGTACTAGAGCCCTAAAAATTACATTTTTGGTAATGATGTAGATATAGCATCCATGATCATTTTCCTTCTTAAATTTTTTTCATGTTCTGGAATATTGTTAAGCTGTAATAAATGCTTTAATAAATTCTATAAATATCATCTGGTGTAGATTGTTGTGAACAAGATTGCTGTGAAGTCTCCATATAATTACTAATTTTATTACTTAAACTGAAAAACGTTTGTTCCAACTCTTTGGTTTCATTCATTTTTCTTTTTTTAAGTTTTGGAGAACATTTTAGAACATCTGGAGATTTATCAATATTAATATTTTGTTTATCATTTGCATTTGTATTTTCCTTATTATTTGAAGAATAAGCAGAAATATTGTCGGAATCACAAGTTTCTTTGGCTAAATTTTTTTCAACAAAAACATTTGCTTCATTTTCACTTGCTTGAGATCTTGAATTAATATAAGTTCTAAAACAAACAATAATAGATATTAAAAGCGTTAAGCTCTTAATGCTAAAAACAAGTCATTATTAATATAATGTTAAATATTTTAAATTATGTTAATTTATTTACTACAAATAAACTACCTTCTTCTTTTGATGACTTGATCTAAGAATGACAATTGAGAATAAAATGACCATTTAGAAGAATTAGGATGAGCTGCACTTCCACTTTTAGATTGACTTTCTATTTTTTTTTCTCACGATTGTATTGCTCTCGTAGTGAGCAACATCGTTTTTGACAATATTGTGGTGTGTAAAGATCACTTGTAATAACAATTCAAGAACAAATAAAGACATATATAATTAAAAATAATTCAATAAACAACCATATACAATAATTACCGCAATTAGTTGCAATCATTATTTTTGATACTTCCTTCCAAGCATTTTCTTTCATTAATATGTTCTTAAAATTTGAATTTTTTTTGTCAAAGAAAAGGCCTTTCTCTATATAATTCTATAAGGAAATCATCACCATTTCTTTCTTCAACAATAACACTTTCACTATTATAATCTTCCAATACATCTTCAGCACCAATATTTAATTCATCTACATAATCACAGTAACTCTTATGGTCTGACATTTTTGTCCGATAATTTTTTCTTAATAAGAACCTAAAAAAAACTGATTTGTAAATTAACATAAAAAGAGAACAAAACAATTTTATATGAA